GACGGATATCCCAAACGCGTCCTCGGTGTACTTACACAAAAGAATTTCCACCTGTTCAGGCACCTGTCTGTCAATAGAGATTAGTACGGTGGGGTCGGGACGTCATTTGTACCTGAGGAGTTCGTAAGTACCAGAATATGGTCTGAGAAGATGCATTGCGGAAGAAAAAACGCCGCAGAACGCGATCAGCCACCACAGTCTCACGAAGGAGGAATGCGGGAGCTTATTTTCGACCTGGAACTAAAGCTGTAACATCGAGCACCGTCGAACATGGTCGACTGCTTGAACTCACACGCGGCTCATGGCGTGGTATGGAATCGAACATCGGGGATGATCGGTCGCTCAGAGCGTGGTCGGGGCGACCGACGGGTGGCCGAGTGCTTAGCGCTTTTGTCTTTTCCCGCGCGAAGGGCCCTGATCGTCCTGGGTACGTCTATTTGCCCTCTAGACTAGTCCTCGGGACCAATGTGAAAAACAATTCACGGGACATGGGACAAGACTTGGCTTTGTGGTGCAGCCCGAAATAGTTCTAGAGTGTTCAGAGTCTAGACTCTACACTCTGTTATAGTCTGAAGTGGAGGGTCTCCGAGCCGGCTCCGGGGGAATGGAATCAAAACGATGTCGTCTGGCAACGGAATATCGTACGCCCTCGAATTTCCTCGGGGGCCTTGACTCTCGGCTCTCTATAGCCATCAGAGATAAACACACCGCTCCGCTCCATATACGGAAGCATGACTGTCACCCCCTGCTCCTGGATTTTCTTGGGAAACTGAAGCACTGTCCGCTTCGCGGTAAGACCGAATTAGCCACTAAGCTTCTGTACTTGAGTGTTCTTCCTCGCGCTCCGCGCTCGACCGCGAATGGAGAGCGCGCTTCATGAAACGAACTTGCCATGAAAGCGACGCAGCCGGCTATCCTCCAGAGTGCATTATTTGAATGGAAAGGCGGTTCTCATCCTCAAGGTGCTCACTTTTCCCGGGATGTCCCTTCCGACCTCAAGGTCAGACCCTGCTGGCCGGATGGAGAGCTCTGCTGCTGGGCGTGCGCGAGACAAAGACGACAGTGCAACAAGCTCGGGGCGAGTCGTCTGCAACTTGAGGAACGCAATCGGATCCGCTCGGAACACAAGTTCGGGGGGGGGTGCCCGGAGTTACACGCGCGATCTCGCTGTCCTTGCGCCAGATGACAAAAAGAAAAAGGAAAAAGAACCTCCGAACCATCTACTATCCTTGAGCTCAACTCGTATCGCTTCCGACTGCCGAGACTTGAGGTGCGCGTAACGGCTGCAGATCCGTGGACTCGGGCTGGTCATCCGCTCTCGCGAGAGAGAAATGAAAGAACGATGCACCGACAAAACAGACGTGGACTAGGATCTAGATCTGGTGGTCTCGATTACAGGCTGGAGGCTACCAGGCTTACACTCAGCCTGAAACCACTCCTGTAGTCTTGGTCCTCGGACATGGAACCCGGCAGATCGCCCTGGGCTACACATCATTCCCGACTTCCGTCCGCCCGATCTGTCTTGACGAACGTCGCCTGCAGGGTGCTCGCAATTCGTGGGTATTCTGGCTGATCGATGGAAGCGGCCGGATACAATCCTAGATAATTTGGAAACCGAATCTGTGTTCCTGAGGGTGAGTAAGTCATCTACATATGTACAGTATCGATTAATTATCGACTGATCGCATCTCGCTGGATCAGTGAGGGATGAGCGAATTCTTTGCTCGCAGCTGAAGCGGGTCCATGTCTGACATTCCAGTTCGGTCCACGATGATCGTGTCTCAATGAGATCCGCACTGAACTCAAGGGTTCCGCAGTCCATCAGATGGACATCGCGGTCAACAAAGGGGGAATTTCGCACAATGGTAGACACTTCATTGAGCCTGCAGATGACTTTCCCCAACTTCGTCTTCAGCGGCTTGCCGGTCTGAGAGTTTCTCCTCGGGTCCCGGTCCTCCTTTTCCGGCCTGCCACCAGTAGTTGAAGCATGATGCTGAACATCCGAGACAGCGACTCACAAACGTGGCCTTGCGAATGTTACTCCGGGAGGACCGGCTCCGACTCGAACTTTTCGCAAACGAACAGTGCCTATTCTCGTAGATGTACTCTGGAAGGTTGAAAAATCTATCACGTGGGAATCTTCTCTCCGATAATCGCTCCTCTGCCTCGATGATCCTCGAATCCAGAAACTAGTGAGGCGGCTCTCTCTTGTCAGAGGGCTCCTCCGCTTTGAATACGGCCGAGCTCCTAGGTCCTAGGGCATTCATCAAAGCCTCAGTGTTTTTTTCTTCGCCGTGGCACTCTCGCAGATGCTCCCGTCAAACTCAAAAACAGGCCGGTCGCATTTTTGCATGGCAGCCCGGAGCTTCCGCAAGAGTAGCATCCAAGGAAATATTCCGTCAGACCACGGAGTTCATCCACGACACGCCAGTGCAACCTGCAACGTGAACCGCCGTCACGAACTTCAGCGGAGAGGTAACTAAATACCGAGCTGTCACGTGAATTACTCACGATCTTGTATCGTGGCTTCTAGCTCGTCACCCTGGACATCCTGTCGAATTAGCCGCGGTAATCAGTGTCGGATGTCTCACTGGTGTGAGGGTGGGGGCGGAATCGAAGCTCACATAACATATACGATCGAATGCAGCGTCTCTCCGATCATGAATTCAACGCCGCAACCATTTATTCCCACATTTACGGAGCGAGTTGGGTAGCAAGAGACGACTGACACACAAAGCCTTACAAATAGCACTACGTGCGGTGGATGCACGATTTCACCGGTGGTTTTTAGTGGTTGTCCGTAGTTGTTGGCAATCATCGTGCATATTGTCCTGGACACGTAGAGCAAAGATCCATAACCGACATCGGAGATGTGGCTCACGCAAAGGCGACGTATAATAGAACGACGCGACGACACGGCGAGTCGGCGAGCCGGTACCTGCTGACAGCGCGGTGCTTCCATCTCGAAGAGCGCGTTCAAGGGTAGCGGAGCCCGCTGAGGGACGAAAAAACGCTCGTTGTTTCATCCTCATGCGGTCTTGCAGCGAGATTATCGCGCCATTCTATTACAGGACGTGGCTCAGGTGACCGTGAATTATTCAGTGGGACGGTCCATTCTGCTCTCGAGCGCTTTACCGACCGGAGCCCTCTCGCCTGCGAGGATTTCCTCGGCATAAGTCGATGATGGTTTCTCGACGACGGACTTCCTCCGTCGCGCCCAATCAACGTCGCGTGATTTTCCATGTTCGCGCTCCCCTCCGTCCCTTGGAACAAAGCTTGCACAAGGCATGAAGTGGGCAGATGCGAGGGAGAATGAGGACAAAGCAAAAAAGAACTCGGAAGCCATCCGTCTCCATCCATTTCCCTCCGCTCTTTTCTACGAAGGATAATCAACACACGAAGCGTAAGAGAGCGGATCATCCACACGGAAGTGTATTCTCTGATGCGTGCGGAATCAAGCAGCAAATATTGGCGGGAAAAGTTTTCTATGCACATACAGGTCTTCTAATGGATAGTATTGTCGTTCCGTTCGGGCGAATATTTCCGAATTGCATCTTTACCCTTCACTCATGTGCGCAGCGCTGTGTATGAATCATTCTGGGTCATTCCCCCACTCGGATATCAAAAACTCCTAGATGACTCCCCGACGGGGGTTCCCGTTACGACGCCCTCCAGAGGAATCTCTGCAGTACCGGGTGGGTTCCAGCACTGATGTGTCCTGAAGGTATTTAATTCAACTGCTACCACCGATTTCATCAGCCAGGTCCGAGGATCGGGGCCTTCCTGGTGGACAATGGACCTGGGAAAATCCGCCATTACGGTCTGAGGAGTTATTCCCACCATGTACATAGATTTTCCTTTCCACGGAATCATCGCATGAGGAAGAGAGATATGATCGATACACGCTCAATTTCCTTCCAATAACGATGCGTCGAATAGCTCCATTCCTCATCTGAAGGCTCCCTTATTCCTCCGTTGAACGGAACATTCGAGGAAAACCGAGCCTATCCGAGCGGACGGCATTCCTCGAGTACCAGAATCCATCCCCCAACCCACTCCCAGCTTGTCGACGTGTTGACAATCATTCCGGCGTTGTGAGTTCATTCGGAGTCGAGGTTGGAAAAAGGCGGAGATGAACAAACGGAAAACTCTTTATGAGTCGGAATAAACTGGGATTCGAAGCAAGCTGCAAGTGCCTCATTGTAGAATACGACGGCGGATGGTGCAATTTCGAAAACGGAATAGCCCTTTGCGAGCTTTCGTCTGGCTCCCCACCCCCCTAGTCGTCATGTGATCAGCTCGTTCGAGCTGGTCCTCCGCATTCTAGCCAGCTTCGATCATCATGGATCTCCTATGCATCTGGATATGAAACGCTCCCCCTATGATCCTGGTCTCGCCTTTATTCTCGAAATTCTCCAAGCTCCTGTCTTTGTATGTATATGTACATGTGTTTTATTACAGTTCGTTTAGTACTCTGTTAGTGCTGCTCTGTTTTTGTCATTATGGAAATCGAAAGATCTCTGACGGTAGGACCTGAATGTCGCCGGTTCGCTATCTCGATTCTGAATTTCGGATCCGAAGACCGTATTTCAATCTGGAGTACGATGGAATCCATGCGGGATGTCTTCCTCTCGCCCCTCCGCTAAATGCTTCGCCCGACGCCCAGCTCGCTCGTTCCCTTCATTCCTTTGTAAAGCTGAACAACAAATACATGTGTTTTCTTACGACGCCGAGCAGGTGAGTCGTTGGCCCAAATATCCATAGGCTTGATGTCATGCATTCTTTTTTCGATCTTTCATAACGGTCCGATCACCGGTCAGGCATTTCAACATAACCTGACCAAGCAGCCATTCGAGTCTAGTCAATCTTACACCTTAGTCAACAAGTTGTACAAATCGGTTGATCATCCGTAACTGTACATACATTGAAAAGGGTCTGAGCTAACGAGACAACTCATAGCTCCCTTGCTCGTTTGAAAGAACTCTTTCCTACGCGCACGACTACGCGATATCCTTAAACGTGTGATGATTTGGCAAGGGCGAGGGCCGCAACGTCGATGCACACGACTGCCGTTGAGGACTACTCGATCCCCGGATCGTGTACGTGACAGTCTTCGAGTTCGACCTGAAACCGAAACTAGTTCATGTCAGGAGCGAGTTGTTGCTGCCATCGACGCAGACCTACTACTACGTGTGTTCCGAGCGGACAGAGAGAGGTCTCAAACGCGATGCCTTCTCTGTCTCGCGGGGACACCCATGGCATTATCGTTCTTTCGAACCATGAGAGCTTCACAAAATGCGAGCCGGCAGAAGTCTTTTCAGTCAGACGCAACGAGAGAAAAAAATTCATCGTGTCAACCGCGGTGCATGGCGACTCGGGCAGGAACTGCTTTCTGGATTCCGAACGGAGCAGCGAGGCGCGGAGTGTGGGAGCGAATTCGAGCCGCAGAATGACCGTCCTTGATATTTTTCTCTGCGTGCTTCTCGTAGGGTGAGAACGGCCTTGTCGGCGTCGTCGTGCTCCTTAAACGTTTCCACGCGTCTTCCAACACGATCGACTTTCTTCTCATCGGCGTCGATCGGCACTTCAAATATCCGATGGATACAATGCACTATCAACGCACGAGGCAAGACGAGCCGAGACGCGCAACGCAGGTGTCCGGTACAACAATAGCCTCCCTTCTGCCCATCAACACCTGCTTCCGTTTATTCTCTGACCGCCTGACGTGGAGCTCTTTGCCGTCGATAAGCGCAAAATCGTTCGACCTGAACCGAGGGAAAGTAATGGGAGCGTCCGAACAGCGCCGAAAAGCGCGAAGACTTCGAATTTCTATGGAAAGACTTTCCAGACAAAGTGGCGGTCCGGATTGTACTCTCGGCGCCGATTGTGTCAAACTCTACGATTCAATCTTGCTATTCAGACGTCACGAGCTACGGGGAATCCCAGCTGCGCGATCGCCTCCGGCTCGGTCCCGGCTTTGTGCACATTTTGTATATTGTATTTACGCATCTGGTGTCTTGAATTCCTTGCGACTCCGATTGCGCCTCTAGGTGACCCACGGCCCCGCTGGACCGTCTCGGAGCTTGGAGGAATGCCAACTGCAGTTTTAAGCTCTTCAAGGGAAATCTAGAATTGGCAACAAGAAGCATGAAGCCTGTATTCAGAGTCACAATTTCGTATCCGAGAGCATTTCACGGAACCCGAGACACGCTGATGATTGCTTGATGATCTCATCGCGGACGCATGCGATTTATCAGCGAATAATTTCAAGGATCATCGGTCGCTGGCATGGATATTCCCTCGAAGTCCCGTGCTCTAACTGCGAAGACTGCAAGCCTCATCGCGAGTCCTAGATGCGACAATCTCGCAACGAATTTGTCATTCAGGATGCCAGTAGGAAGTTCCTCGAAGGTAGGGTCAGAATTATTCGAGTCATCAAGTCGCTCCGTCTGCGAGCTGCGGGGAGACCTACCTAATTCGAATATGCAAAAAGGAGCAGCGCAGGGATCACCCTCAATCTCGACGTCTTCGCGCAACGTCGAGATCAGAAGCTGTTTTCCGTTCTGAGCCGCCCCCTTGATTCGGTTGATTTTGCGCTTCTTCTCGTCGCTGTTGTCTCCCGTCTGGCAATCAAGCGAGCTTGCCCCCTGCCCGCGGGAACACAGGGAATTCAAGGTCTACAAACAAGCTAGGAATACATACCATTGGTAGTCTGTGGCGTTATGCTCTCGGCTCCCTGATCCACGACATAGCCAGTTACACCGGAGAACTGTTCGGAATGCTCGATTGTATTCACGACTCGTGGTGGCGTAGATGAACGGGTTGAGACATGAATTAAAATAGCCCGTCCAGAAAAATACGTCGAAGAGCAACGGCGGTACGTTGCAGGCTTCACACAGACTTCCTACAAAAGACAGAAAGATAAAATGAGAGATTGACTGGAAATCCATGCCTTCTTCACATGAGCCCATCGAGTCATCTTGGTTAGAACCCTGGACCACATATCGTGATTCTCCCACCAAGTGTATGCATGCTCCTCTCATCGGCTTCGGAACTCGGAACCTCCGTGGGGAAGGGGCTCAGGAATTCGAAGAGCGAGGGATCCTCAAGTTTCCCCAGCCTCGCTCTGCTTGACGTCAAGATTCGAGCGAGCGGCGGATGGCGACATAGCTTGTGAGCGTCGAGGTCTCTCCAACCCTTTCGGCTGTCGTTTTTTTAACCCGACGCCGATGCTCCAGCCTCATGCCGCGATCGGGTCCGGAGCATTGATACGGGTCGCACAGTTTTGAGACATCGAGAATCAGTAAACCTCAGTGACAGCGTGGCGACGGAGCAACGGAGATTCCAAGATTATGACTTGGCTGTCACCGTCAAGTGAAACCTGTCACACACATAGTGGCTTTCATCATTGGCGTTGATCTATGAACGATAGCGCGTTACCGCACAATTAGTCTTCGCAATGTACGGGACGGCTCGCGCGTCCTCCCCCGCTCGCGTCATGCAGTGATAAATGTTCTCTGTACGGTGTAGATCCCTATATACGTATCTGTTTGGACCCTGTCGTCAGCGCTCGCATTCGGTCTCATCGTCTTCACTGCGGAGGATATTCGCCGTCCTCGAGGAGATTTTTGCATAGATATAAGTCACATGTCTGTCGTGTGTGGACTCAGTCGGGCGTCCGTTCACTTAATTTGGGTCTGCCCTCGATCACACAACACATCCGTTTCCTCGCTTCCGGCTCATTGTTTGGGGAGCATCCTCCTCGGATCGCTTTCCGACGGGAGCGCTCGGAGCCTTTCGAGCGTCGGATCGATACGTCAACAGGTTCACGAGTTGTCACATTGAGCTTGCATTGTTGATCATCGTTACCTCCGATCATCAATCATTCAGACGCTCGCTCAGGGTCAGAGGGCTCGTAGAAGGTGCATCTCCAGACCGATTACCTCCACGATCGAAGCCTGCTCATGGGCACTCTGCCTCCAGCCGTGGGCTCCGATGTCGAGCCGAGGCGAACTGCTTCATTTTTCTCCGAGACACTGATTTCAGAAGTCACCGGATGAGCGTCCCGTGGCAGCGGAAGCGCGAATAGATATCGGCCGACAAACAGGCGGGAAAGGCGATGCATCTCCAGATTGCTAGGCGCCGTCAGACGATCATGAGGGAGAACGACGAGATAATTCGTTCCGCTTCGCGCTATAAGATACATGAACCAGGCAGGCGTGAATACATTAATCAAGCCGCTCCGCGACCAATGATACGTATCACGTGCGGAAGGTAGGATTGGCTTCTTAGCAAGCCGGACAGTCCATGGAGCCGCGCCAAACGACTTAGCAACGATTGGATGAGCGAGATCCGAAAAACGAGTAGTTGGTATCCGTTCAGCTGCCCGCTACGAGCTCATTCCGAGAGGAGACCGTAGACCATACAGACTCATTCGTCATTCTCAATCAAATAGTATGAGCATTGCGCCGGCGGCTGGAAATGATTCGTTCTGTTCCGGCAAGCGGAGCAACACCGCCGGAAGAACTCGACGGCGACAATAGGCTCCGAGCCGACTGCAGAGTGAAGAGGGCAAGAGGTATTCAGAGTTGCTCGGCTCGTACTGTCCAGGCCGCCCAGGAGGGCTCCCATCGGAGTACCTGTCGAGGTTCCCGTCAAGGTTCCCGTGAGGCTTTCCGGTAGGTTTCCCGTACAGGAAGTGTCCTCCAGGAGCCGCCCTTCACCTCGACTTCACTCACCGAAATGGATTCGGCCAATGATCCCGAAAACAAGTCGAAAGAACAATCCTTACTCCTGACCGGCTGAGTTCCGCAAATGAACACATTCCGAGAAAGCGGTCAGCGAGTGTCAAGACATATTAGGCGCAGCCGAAGCTGGTTCGAAGGCTCATTCTCCAATAGGGATCCAATGCCTAGAGCCTTGCGCCGGAATTTCCCGCATGATATGACTGTCCGATCGAAATAATGATAATTGGAGATACAGGATGACGGGTACGTCTGTTCCGGGCCGAATCGCCGGATTTCAATGAGATATAGGAAAAACCGTTCCGTTTTCGCAATCCATGCTCGATAAGAAGGCAATTCCGGCCTTCGATGCAGGATGACTTGTTCGAGTGGCCGGTTGACGCAGGAATATTGATTTTCTCCAACGTTTCGATGAAGTCTTCGCCGATGAACCTGATTACGGTCGACTTGGAACGGCTGCAATCAGGGACAATGACCGGAGATACCCGATATTCCGTCATGGAAGGCTCGAAAGACCACCGGCGGGAGGGATGTCGGCCCGTAGCGCGTTTCGAATTTTGGAGCACATCCATTTGAATTCGGGATCGGTATTTATATGTCTAGAGGAGAGCATTCTGCCTCTCGTGGATCGAAGCCTTCGTCGTCATCGGTGCCTTCACAGCATGCTGTTCTTCATTGGCGAAGCTGGAGAGGAGAGATATCCGATGTTCTCGCATCGTCCTCGATGCTGCACGCATGAGAGATGGCGGATATAAGTAAAGTCTTTCACCCTATATGGAGCTTCGCATGGCTTGAGCTCTCGTACGAGTCTGAGCAGAGGAGAACGAAAAGTTCCGCCGACGGAATCCGATTCGTACATAGCAGTCCTACGCACTGACTCGATGCTACGCGATCCGTCGCCTATTGCGTTCAGTTTTGTTTCTACCGACAAAAATAGCTTGGCGGGCGCAACTCTGAGCAGCTGCTAAAAAAGCCTCATTTCTCTTCAGTCGTCTTCTGACGCGTCTTCCCGATAGCAGTAAGCCCCGTCGGGCGCGAGTCGATGACGTCAGGGCGACATATGGCTCAACATATGCATGTATTCTTCGCTTCCGAGGGTGCGTCAGACTTTGCTCCTCCCTTGTAACCTTACGGATGTTCCCTGCAACATCAATCTGATCGCTAGAGAGTCGAAACCCCGCTGGCTTTGTTTTGATCAGGCGGAAAGTTCTGCTGCCCGGGCAGAACGAGAAATTGCAGAGGCGAGCCCGTGTCTCGTAACGATCTGATCTCTGGAGTGAGAGGAATCTATACAACTGAAGTTTGAACTCCATTCGACCGAACGCTTCAGCATAGGATCCGGTCTTTTCCTCGATTACACCAACGCGCCGTCCCACTCGTAAAGTTTCTGGGAGAAAAAGTAGACGAATCCGCCTGCGCGGGAAGCCGAGCCCGTCTAATGATGGGAGCGTTGCTATGAAGTTTGCTGTTCTCTCATGACATTTCCATTCACTTGCTCCCGGCGGGGGGCTCCCCGCCCTCAGAGGAATCAAGATCGCAGGAAAGTCCCCTCAGGACCGACACGAGGGCGATCATGTAGCTCTCTGAGGTTCGTCCGGCCATGATAATTATCCCTCATTCCGACTTCTTTGATTCTATTCTGGATTCTGGATGGTGCATCTTATCTGGAAGGGAGGCTCTCTTGACGCACAAGTTCTGAATTCGCCGAGCAACGACACTGCATTGTGTCCCACACGGTTGGACAAGTTTCGGCTGCGAACGTATCGAGGACGATTGACCTTCAGAACAGGAAAAATTGACGACGACCGGGCCGAAGCGTATCGGAAGATTTTCGAAGCTCGAGGGAGCTTCTCCGAAACCGTCTGACTTCATGGCGTACATTTTGAATCACGCATAAGTCGATTTTGTTCCGGAGGTGATTTCGAATTGTAGATCTTGGTTTCCTGAGCAATGGTCGTGAAAGATCCGAATAGGAAGACACTCGATTTCCAACGGATCGAGAGGACGTTTTCCGAGTGCTCGGCGGCAACATGGAGTTTTCCATAGCGAGGACTCGGAGGAGAAGCCAATAGAGTAAAGATCCGAACACCTTCGCAGTTGAGTTGAGTAAGTGAATAAAAATGCGGCCTCGGGTAAAAACTTCTACAATAAACGGCATGAACATCTGGGTACCGGCTCGGCCGACAGATACTGATTCCGAGGAAGGATGGGAGTACCGTCCGATGTCTGGTACCTCCTGCGAATGTCAGTAGCTCCGAGAAGCCATTCCGAAGAGTAAAGACACGGCTCTGATATTTCGGAGCGAACGTTTCTGACATCTGGATATAATGGGATCCGAGCGCTACGGTGTATCCGATTCCTGCGATTCGATTGGGAAGATTGTAAATAGCCTAGCGACTCCTACAGCGGCGCGACGTAACTAGGCGAAGTTGCGCCCGGTCCAGAGCTCGCGAATGCCACCCTTAAAGTAGTGTCTTGGACCTTCCTCCGCAGAAGTATTGCCACGCGATGCGGACCCCAAGCCCCCAGCCCCTCTCGACACAAAATTGTCTCTCAGGAGCGAATCTAATCGTAATTTCGGAAAATGTATCGGAACTCACCAAATGGTAGTATGAAGAAGAACGGGAACCAACAAATGAAGTACACTCCTACTACTATTCCAAGGGTCTTAGCTGCTTTTTTCTGTCGCTTGAACTTCGCCAAACGACCCTGTAGTCCCATCGTCACGATTTTCGGATTAGAACTATTTTCCAGTTGGCTTCCGGACGATGATTTCGAATTGCCTTGATGAACCCGAAGGGTGAGTTCTCCGTTCCCCGAGTTTCCGCTTCCACCCCCTGCAATGGTTGAGTCAATTAGACAGATTCTCAAACTTCCCGGAGTACACTTTCGCTGGTCACCTGAAGAAGGGAAAAATGAGGGGATATTTCGGGGGACCCTTTCGCAGTACGGGAGTCACACCATCAGTTGACCGTACATGTTTTTCCATCCGAAGAGTGAGCGACGCGTTAACGAGAGACTTAAAGGCCCTCGGAAAACCCGCTCTCATCGGACGAAGCGTTTCCCTCGCTCTACGACCTTAATTCTTGGTCGAGTCACCTGACGCCTACCTCCTGGAACTACTTCCCGTTTTCCGGATGCCAGGGACCACATCCGAGCGGTGAAAACTTCATCATTACAGTCAAAAAGGTCATCGAGAGAGGGGGAACTCGGTCGTGACGTCCAGATACTGCCAGCGCTGTGAGGGATCCCCATATAGGGCTCCATTCCATCAAGAAAGCAATACGCCAATGATCGGCTCAATCTCCTCCGTTTGGGAATGGATGACGAATAAGAAGAGAACTCGAGGAGAGAAAGTGTAGCAGGACGATGTTCTTGGACCGCTGCGGAGGATCGTAATGAAGGCTACCGGAAGCAGTGAGTCCGGGTAAACGAGCTTCATTATTCCGCTGTTTGACAAGTTGTTACTAAATAAGCGATGACATCGGAGTCGATACAGAGAATCGACCGGATGACATCTCCCGCTTTGTTCATCAGTCAATCCAGTTCGCTCAGCGACCCCGAGCTATTTCGCCTGACATGATCGATCCACGTCACCTTCCGAACTCGGCAATCCTCTGGAGCCCAAATACCCGGAATTCTTCTCGTCCCACTTCGAATCATCATGGCTTGAGTATGCCCACAACTCAACAGGGGCAGATGTCGCCTGTCATCATCTCTCTGTTGAGGCCAGCGGGTGCGAAGCTACCTGGCGAGTGTAACAGCGAACACCGAGCGCACAGTCTAGAAGTGGAATTCCCAGGAACCTACAGAAGAGAAGAGACGGAACCCAGGGAGGGTTTCGCGATGAGACGTGAAGGAGAAGGAGTCACATGAAAGCTTGTTGCTTAGGGTTTCCGCAGCGTTTTTACGGGCACGTTACCGAGCATTTTTCGCGCGGGATTCCTCTCCGACCGTGATTGGGGTCCCATTTGCGACAGCACGGAGCTGAGTGGAATAGCGGCAAGAGGAAACGCCCTCAGAGGATTCGAGCAAAACGAATGATCGCAGAGCTGCACCTTCGCAGCAATTCCAGAAACATGTCGCAGGTGGGATTGCGTGCGGCATGCAGCGGAATTTGTAAAATGAACGAGGTCTTGATCGCCTGTAATGCCGTTTCGTTGACATAGGCGCTAAAGCGTGCCGGAAACAACCTAGCCAGTGCCGCTAATGCTCCGCCGAGCCCGGAGACGCGGGAAGGACGAGACAAATTCATGGCTTCATGATCGTTCATTGCTTCAGCGGCGCGATGCCAGCAAACTCCGTCACGCCAAATCGGAGTCATTCGAGAAACTTTGCACGACGACGATGATGATGACGATATCAGCACGAAAGCATATTCGTCCAAAAATAAAGGATCTATCTTCAGGTATTGGAATTTTCGACATGCACCCGCTCAAGTGTGCGTTCTCGCAGGAACAACGGCGCCGTATCATATGCGCAATAAGCGACGACCGGCGCGCGGTCGAAAGCGGTCTTTCATCCTCTCTGCGTGCGAGACGAGTTTCCATGGATTGGCTGCTTTATTTGAAAAACGCTTGGTCGCAGTCGGAACTTGGTCCGAAACAGTCCACACAAAAGAGGAACCTGAGGTGAGGAAACAATGGAGCTCGAACAGCTCGCAGATTTTCCCCGAACCTCTCTCTTCTTCTATCGTCCTTTCTCCGTCAGCTGGATGATCCCTGGACCCGGAGTTGACGGCGGAAAAGAATGAAGCCGAACGAGAAATTGCGCCTGAGTAGGCGTTCCGAGGGATCTTTCATGGTCGGTCCTACGCCTAGCCGCAAGATACCCTCAAGAGCCCCACATCTCTGACCGCAGCCACCACCGCTACATTCAGACCCCAGCAGATGGGAGACCGGAAAAATTCATGCTAGCTCTCCGGAGAGATAGAGGGACAGTTCAAAGTGTGTTTGTTGAGCGGAAGTTAGCCCACGTCAGCGATTGCGAGCCGCCGCGCCGGAGGAGATCCCAGGCCGTATACTAGTGCTGACGGGAATTATTTGACGCTAATCACACTTGGGCGCGCGAGAGGAACTTTTCGCGTGAGCAGTGAGCACGAGGCGTGCATTAAAGAGATGATGAATCAGAGCTCCGACGCGGCGAAGACGGCGTTCCAGACTTGAGAGACGGGAGAACCATATCAGAATAAGAAGCTGAGAGCGGGAAGAAGCGTGACCGACGGGAGAAGGGGACAAACGGGGAAAGAAGAAGAATCACGCGTCAAGCGGTCGGAAGAACTTAACTAAACGCCATAGAATTATCGAAGGATTTGTTGAGCGAGCGACAGAGCCGATCGTATCGGGGAATCGAGGAAAATCAGAGGGAAAAGTCTAGGAGTGCCCCGATGGAATGGTAAATGACCTGTGAATGAAACGGAAATTGCGCAGTACAGAACAATGACGCTGAACACGGAAGCGGGGATCGGGAGGATACACACGATCGGAACGACACATGCATCAAAAGACAGCACCTCACCGTAGATTTGCCCATGCTCGTAATCGATGGAAATTCAGGACGACGTATTCCGAAAAAATCGCGTTTCAAACACGCGTACCAAATATGAGTGGAAGCGTGATGCTGCAGAGCGCTCTGACTCCAATTCTAATCTCCTCGGCAAGTCAGCCCAGAATGCCCGAACAATGTGACGCGATAAGTGCATTTCCGCCTGCTTCTCGTTATAAAAATAATGCGGGGAAAAACCTCCGAGAGGAGGGAGAGGAGCGGAGCCACTGTCGCAGTTTCCTCATGGAACTCGGAACGGCGTTAGATCATTATGTTGAACACGTACCTGACTTGACAATCTTGACTCCTGTCTCGAGGAACTTAGTCTGACGCGTTGCGGCTCGGTAAATTCTTTGGTAGACGACTAGGATGACGAGGGTTGGAATGTAGAACGAAAAGAGCACGGAGAATATGACGTAGCCCTTTTGCTTAGTGACCTCGCACGAGTATTTATTGTCTGGGTTCGGGGGGTCTCTCCAGCCGAACAGTGGGCCCACTGATATGAAAAAAGAAAGTACCCAAACTATCACGCACGTTGTCACTGCGCGTCTATGCGTCACTATACTCGAGTAGGTCAACGGTCGCGTAACGCCGATATAACGATCGACACTGATCACACACAGCGAATTGATGCTCGCCGTACAGCACAGCACATCGGTCGCCGCCCAGACATTGCAAAAAATCTGACCGAAGTACCACTGCTTGTCGAGCAGCTCGAGCGTTGCCGAAAACGGAAGAACACTTGCACCCAACAGAAGATCGGCAATAGCCAGATTCACAATAAAGTAGTTCGTTGTCGTGCGTAGATTTGGGTTCATGAAAATGGCCACCAGAACCAGTAGATTGCCCGTGATTGTGAGCAGGATTATGAGGAGTAGGAGGGTGCCTTTGAGTGCCATCAACGTCATGTTTGCTTCGACGGGCTGCTGCATCAGGAGGTCGGTGTAGTTGGACGCGTTTGGTGAAATCACTTTGTCGAGAACGACGACAAGAGTCTCATTGGCCGCCGCCATCGCCAGAGAGCTACTTCTCGTCGTCAGGGAACCGGGACCGCTCTCTAGAATTATGAGGGGCGACGTCGTTGTGGCTGTCGTCGTGCCCATGCTCGGCACCAGGCTCACAGATGTCGGATCATCTTGAAATCTGCTCCATCTGAAAAGAATGGAGAACGCATGAATAAGAGAGTAGTTCATTCCTCGGAAAAATTAGAGTTTAAATCACTGACGCAAGGAATCTGACGCGCCGTCAAGGGCTGCGGGAAAAAACGTGCGCGCATTCCGCGATTTTTAGCTCTATATCCTCTGGAGATAATACGGAGAAGAATTCTCTTTTTGGTACGATTCGGTCAACACCATCCGGCTCGGAGTGGGGCGCGGACTCCATCCGACCGGGGTCTGGCGAGGTGGGAAGAGAACCGCGGCGCGATCAGAACTCTCGGGATGTCGGAAGGCTTGTTCAATTAAGCCGTGTTTCCAAGTGGTGGAGGGCTTGTTTTTAGAGCGTTTGCTTTGCCGGGGATTGATCCCGAACACGACGAAGTCGACGCAAACGTTTTCCCCGAACTTTCAGCTTGCGCTGGGGGTGTGAGAGCGCGCGACATCTCAGATCCACGATCGTTAGCAACTTTCCGCACCCGCTGACTCATGAGGGCAGCTAGGTAGCTCGGTCTGGAGGCTTTTGAAGCGGAGTCTTTGAAAGTCTTTTGAGAAGCTCCACAATGGACAGACGCTATGGTAGAAGATACTCGCAGCTAGTCAATAGTTTGCAGAGTCTTCAGGAGCGCTAGGAGAGACTCAGTGGTTTCAGCGCGAGTTCCAGCGTCGCGGCCGGTCAGTCTGAACGGCTGAGACTGGAGCTTCATTGAGCCACAAATATCCGGAGACCCGAAAGCTCCGGGAAAGACGATAGACAGCTTTTGATATTGGAGTCGAAACTGCGTAATCTGGCGCAAGAATAGGAATTATTCTTCGATCCTGAGCCGTCCCCAGCTCGTGGAGTCGGCCTTCCCGCAGTCCTCCCAGATTTTTTGGCCCGGTTCTCTCACGCTTCCCGATGTTGTCGTTTTCCGCAATCGATTTCCCCGTTCCAGCTCAGCGGGGAATCCCTCTCGGTGGTTGTGAGCGATTCCCCGGAAACCGTTTTCCCGATGAGGTGATTTCGACGGGCTTACCGCGTCGTCGTCCTCGTCCCAATTAATGCAAATGTTTCTTGTACTCCAGGGGCGGTG